GTAAATTTCCATATCTGCTTCATTTTAAATTGTAGTGACACCAAATTCACTCAGCAAGTTATCATTGGATGCTGATCATATTACACCTTTAATGATTTTAGAAAAAATACTTGTCTGATTTTTGGTGTTTTTTATACCTTATAATTATCAATATCTCTTACATTGAAAATGTTAGTGACACCAATATGACGCCAACTAATTACCACTTACCTAATCTACATACCACACCATTTATTTGTTTTTGATTGTTTTTATTTACTTGGAAATGTCAGTAGCTCCTACACTGTATTGACACAAAATCATGCCCGCGCTGATCAACACTTACCTTCTCTCCATACTACATCTTTTACTTTTTCAACAAAATGCTTTTTTGTATGTATGCATTTTTATGTAAAGTGTAAACCAAAAAGATGTGGTATAGAGAGCAGATAAGTGGTGATCAGCAGGGGCCATTTTTAACAGGGTTTACAGTGTAGGAGCTATTGAAAAAATAAGAGAAATTATTATTTTTTTTTTTTTGTTTTACTCCTCCTTGAACCATCACCTTATCGTGGTGGAGGAGTTTGAGTGCCCTAATGATCCTAGGAGCTATGTTGTCTGGGCACTTTGTGCCCCTGGTAGGGTCTCCCATGACAATTGGGTCTTAGGTGAAGGGTGAGACAAAGAACGGTTCAGAAGATCTTTAATGGACGTAAAAACAAAGAGTCGGAGTACTCGGCCCGGAGGGTTACCGGGGTCCCATCCTGGAGCCAGGCCTGGGGTTGGGGCCCATGAGCGAGCGCCTGGTGGCCGGACTTTCGCCCATGGGGCCCGGTCGGACCCAGCCCAAACTGAATACATGGGCTCATCCAACTGTGGACCCACCACCCGCAGGAGGAGCATGAAGGGTCCGGTGCAGTGTGGATCGGGTGGCAGACCGAGGCGGGAGCCTTGGCGGTCCGATCCCCAGACAAAAAAACTGATTACTGGGACATGGAACATCACCTCGCTGGCGGGGAAGGAGCAGGAGCTTGTGGCAGAGGTTGAGCGGTACCGGCTAGATATAGTCGGACTCACCTCGACACATAGCATTGGCTCTGGAACCCAAGTCCTTGAGAGGGGTTGGACACTCTTCTTTGCTGGAGTTGCTCCGGGTGAGAGGCGGAGGGCTGGGGTTGGCTTTTTGTTAGCCCCAAGACTCTCTGCCTGTGTGTTGAGGTTTACCCCGGGGGACAAGAGGGTAGCTTCCCTGCGCCTTCGGGTCGGGGAACGGGTCCTGACTGTTGTTTGTGCTTATGGGCCAAATATCAGTTCAGAGTACCCACCCTTTTTGGAGTCCCTGGGATGAGTGCTAGATAGTGCTCCATCAGGGGACTCCATTGTCCTGCTGGGGGACTTCAATGCTCACGTGGGCAATGACAGCATGACCTGGAGGGGTGTGATTGGGAGGAATGGCGCGCCTGATCTGAACTCGAGTGGTGTTTCGTTATTGGACTTCTGTGCAAGCCGCAGTTTGGCCATAACAAACACCATGTTCGAACATAAGGATGCCCATCGGTACACTTGGTACCAGGGCAGCCTAGGTCGCAGGTCGATGATAGACTTTGTAGTCGTATCATCTGACCTGCGGCCGTATGTTTTGGACACCCGAGTGAAGAGAGGAGCGGAGCTGTCAACTGATCACCACCTGGTGGTGATTTGGATCAGATGGCAGGGGAAGATGCTGCGTAGACCTGGCAGACCCAAACGCATAGTGAGGGTCTGCTGGGAACGCTTGGCAGAAGAACCTGTCAAGACGGTCTTCAACTCCCACCTCTGGCAGAGCTTTGACCGCAACCCGAGAGCAGTGGGGGACATTGACTCCGAGTGGGCCTTGTTCTACTCTGCAATTGTTGAGGCGGCTGTTGCTAGCTGTGGTCACAAGGTGGCTGTTGCCAGTCGTGGTGGCAGCCCCCGTACCCGCTGGTGGACACCAGAGGTTCGGGGAGCCGTCAGGCTGAAGAAGGAGGCCTACAGGGCGTGGCTGGTCTGTGGGTCTCCGGAGGCAGCAGACAGATATCGGATAGCCAAGCGGGGTGCAGCAGTGGCAGTTGCCGAGGCAACATCTCGGGCGTGGGAGGAGTTTGGTGAGGCCATGGAGAAAGACTATCGATCAGCGGTAAAGAGGTTCTGGCAAACTGTCCGGTGCCTCAGGAGAGGGAGGCAGCAACTCGCTCCCACTGTTTACAGTGGGGATGGGGAGCTGCTGATGTCAACTGGGGCTATAGTCGGGCGGTGGAAGGAATACTTTGAGGAGCTCCTCAATCCCACCTACAAGCATTCCGAAGAGGAGCCAGAGCCGGGAGACCTGGAGATGGACTGTCCGATCTCTGGGGCAGAAGTTGCTGAGATAGTCAAACAACTACACAGCGGCGGAGCCCCGGGCGTGGATGAGATTCGTCCTGGGTATCTCAAGGCTATGGATGTTGTAGGGCTGTCATGGTTGACACGTCTCTGCAATATTGCGTGATCATCAGTGGCAGTTCCTGTGGAGTGGCAGACCGGGGTGGTGGTCCCCATCTTTAAGAAGGGTGACCGGAGGGTGTGTTCCAACTATAGGGGGATCACACTCCTCAGCCTCCCTGGAAAGGTCTACTCCAAGGTACTGGAGAGGAGGGTCCGATCGATAGTTGAATCTCAGATTGAGGAGGAGCAATGTGATTTTCTTCCTGGCCGTGGAACTGTGGACCAGCTCTATACCCTTGCAAAGGTGATGGAGGGGGCATGGGAGTTTGCCCAACCAATCCACATGTGTTTTGTGGATTTGGAGAAGGCTTATGACCGTGTCCCCAGGGGCACCCTGTGGGGGACGCTCCAGGAGTATGGGGTGGGTGGCCTATTGTTAAGGGCCATTCAGTCCCTTTACCAGAGGAGCGTGAGTTTGGTCCGCATAGCCGGTAGTAAGTCGGACCTGTTCCCGGTGAGGGTTGGACTCCGCCAGGGCTGCCCTTTGTCACCGGTTCTGTTCATTACCTTTATGGACAGAATTTCTAGACGCAGCCGTGGTGTGGAGTGTGTCGAGTTTGGTGGCAGGAGAATCTCGTCTCTGCTTTTTGTGGATGATGTGGTCCTCCTAGCTTCATCCAGCTCTGACCTTCAGCTCTTGCTGGGTAGGTTCGCGGCCAAGTGTGAAGCGGCTGGGATGACGATCAGCACCTCCAAATCTGAGACCATGGTTCTCGACCGGGAAAGGGTGGCTTGCCATCTCCGGGTCGGGGGAGAGGTCCTACCTCAAGTGGAGGAGTTTAAGTATCTCGAGGTCTTGTTCACGAGTGAGGGTAGGAGGGATCGGGAGATCGACAGGCGGATAGGTTCGGCGTCTGCAGTGATGCGGACGCTGAGCCGATCTATCGTGGTGAAGAGGGAGCTGAGCCAGAAAGCCAGACTCTCGATTTACCGATCGATCTACGTCCCAATCCTCACCTATGGTCATGAGCTTTGGGTAATGACCAAAAGAACGAGATCGCGGATACAAGCGGCCGAAATGAGTTTCCTCTGTAGGGTGGCCGGGCTCAGCCTTAGAGATAGGGTGAGGAGCTCGGACATTCGGGAGGAACTCGGAGTAGAACCGCTGCTCCTCCAGATCGAAAGGAGCCAGTTGAGGTGGTTTGGGCATCTGGTCAGGATGCCTCCTGGACGCCTCCCTGGGGAGGTGTTTCGGGCATGTCCTGCCGGCAGGAGGCCCCCGGGTCGACCCAGGACACGTTGGAGAGGTTACATCTCCAATCTGGTCCGGGAACGCCTTGGGGTCCTGGTGGAGGAGCTGGTGGAGAAGGCTGGGGAGAGGACGGTCTGGAGCTCCCTAGTTGGGATGCTGCCCCCGCGACCCGGACCCGGATAAGCGGAGGAAGACGACAATTTTTGTTTTAAAGCTAAAATGTGTATGACCGGCATCAAAGTGGTGATTTGCTGTGTGAATTTGGTGTCTCGTTTTAAATGGAGTAGCTATTGCAATTTACTTTTTTTTTTTTTACCATTTTTACACTAAACAAAAAACGTTTACCTGGATTAAACTGAATTGTGTAGTATGAGCAGCATGTGTGCAGTGCTTTATTTGGAATTTGGTCACTGTCGTGTACAAGTGTGGAGTTTTTAAATATCTTATCACTGACCGTTTCTGGTGTTACTATTTGCAGACGGTTCCTGAGAGCTCCTCCTTTTTCGTTGGCCCATAGAGATCAATGTTTATGCGTTGGAAACAGAGCGCCACAGAAAACGGGTTAAAAAAAACAATAATGAGATTGTAGTTTGTTCAATACCTTGCCACACTTCCAAAGATGTGTGTGCTGTGGTTCAAAATTCCTTTCTGTTCAGAAATTATCGAGCCGCAAAAGTCAAATCTGCGAATATCTTGCCAACTTTACTGAAGTAACAAAATAGTTATTAAATAATGAGTTATGGACAAAATGTTTCTTCTTATTATTATTATTGGTGTTGTTGTTATTAGGGATGCACCAGCATCTGTAAAAGTTAACTGATACCAGGAACCAATAACAATGCAGTTGCCTGAAAGTGGCTTCACTGTAAACTTCTCATTTCTGTTCATCAAATATTTTAGTTTTATGATCATTTCTAGTAATATATTTTATTTTTTATCTACCTCACAGTCTTATACGGTTGAAAGCAGAGAAGAAAATAAAACCTGTGTTCCAGTTCATTGCATTTATTTATTTTTATTTATTTATTTTTGTGGTAGAAGTATTGGTAAGGGCGAGTACTCAGATCCGAGTATCAGTATGGTATCGGTTTGGATAAAAGTGGTATTGCTGCATCCCTAGTTATTATTATTATTATTATTATTATTATTATTATTATTATTATTATTATTATTATTATTATACATTTAATTCTATGATTTAATTATGTGAAACCGATTTTTGTTCCATGTTTCCGTCATATTTGAACCACATGAATTCACCCATGTGGAAATATTCACCTCTGGAGTTTATTTTGAAAATCTGTACCAGAAGTCTCGTTGACGCGTAAACACCGGAAGCTTGACGACAGATTCATCTGACAGCTGGGTCAGTCAGGACTGGAGTTCGGTCCCGCTCGGATAGACGTTAATGGACCGTATCCTACCACTGAGTGTTTTTTAACCGAAGCGGTTGACAACACCGGACCGAACCAGCTCCCGCGTCCCGGTGAGGCCATGGACGAGCAGGCGGGTCCCGGTGTGTTCTTCAACAGCAACAACAACAACTCGGGTTCTCCCGGCAGCGTCCGAACCCCGCAGCCCGGAGAGGGCGGCGGAGAGGCGGCCAGGGCTCCGTACAGCATCCCGGGGATTCTACACTTCCTGCAGCACGAGTGGGCCCGGTTCGAGGTGGAACGGGCTCAATGGGAGGTGGAGCGGGCCGAGCTGCAGGTAAGCCGAGGCGGTTCAAGCTGTTAATGGGTTCGGTTCTATCCGGTCCAATCGTGGTCCCAATGCTAACCAGAGTAGCAACGTTTTGTGCGTCAGTGGTTCCGGTCCCGATCTGTGTGTGATGTTCGCACGTATAGGTTTGGAACAACCAGGTGGACCCGCGTGATGACGTCACGTTACCTGTGGTCAAGTCCTTGAAAACAAATGGTTGCAGTTCCATTATCGGACGGACACACGCAGCCCCCCTCAGTGTCCGATAATAGACGCAGAATTTTGTTTTCGGTTCGGTGCCGTTTCCCACAGGGTTCGAACCGAACTGGTTCGGTCTCACCTGGAGCAATCACGCAGCTGACTAACGAGACATGAAGAGATTCATAAGCATGAGAAACATTTTAAGACCTTCTCCTAGTGCGTTACGTCACTATCGGTGAGTTACCTGAAGCGCTGCCAGCAGAGGCTGCTCCTGGGGGACTTTTTGGGTGTGTAAACCAAACTCTAGATAGACGGTTCTTCTGAGTCAGCTGGCTGTAGTCTGCAAGATAGACTTGTAGTTCTGCAGAGAGCATCTGAGCTGATACCGGTACCAGAGGTCCACAGTTGTATGGATAACTGGATCCTCCAGTTTCTAGAACTTCACACCTGGAGCCACATCTGGTTCTCCTCATCAAGGGTTTTACTTCAACTGGTGTCTGCCTCCAGAGTTCAGCTGCTATATCTGCAGCAGCTCTAAACATAACATTATTTAATATTGTGATGACGATATTATTTGCAATAAATAAAAACTTAACTCAGGAACAAAAATAATAAAAAAACAAACATTAAAAAATATTCATAAAAATGAGAAAAGCTAACGATGTGACGAAAGTGAAAAAGAAAACAAGAAAAGGTAATCGGTGGATCCCGGGAAAAGCAGAATCAGCAAAAAGAGCAGAACAAAGCTAACTCAGGTGTTTGCTAACCATCAAAATGAAGTACCGGTGTCGGTGCAGGATCTGCTCGGGTGCAGGATCTGCTCGGGTGTAGGATCTGCTCGGGTACAGTATCTGCTCGGGTGCAGGATCTGCTACGGTGCAGGATCTGCTCGGGTGTAGGATCTGCTCGGGTACAGTATCTGCTCGGGTGCAGGATCGGCTCGGGTGCAGGATCGGCTCGGGTGCAGGATCGGCTCGGGTGCAGTATCGGCTCGGGTGCAGGATCTGCTCGGGTGCAGGATCTGCTCGGGTGCAGGATCGGCTCGGGTGCAGGATCTGCTCGGGGTCCTTCCACTGCCGATGACGTTACATGACTGCAAACCTACTCGGCTTTCACACACGTTTTGGAAAGACATCAGCAGTTTTGTTAATAAATTCTTGTTTGTTAACACCTAAATGTTTTCTTTATAATTGTAATTTGTTAATAAAACACCATATTATCTTAGTTTTGTAAAGAATGTGAAACTGCATAAAACCAACATCGGACTGACAAACAGTTCTTACATGTGAAGCCACATCTGTTTGTGTTCATGTGGAGTTGTCTGTATATTTCCTTAGTTGTTATCTAAATACATCCTGTGACTCTAAATGTCGCTTGGTGTATTTCAATAAAGTTCTTATATTTTATTTTGGCCCGTTTCATCAACATCAAGAGCTTTTGAGGGTCACGTTTATCATTTGCTTATATTTTACATTTCCTTTAGAAATTCAAACATATTTTCTCCAAAAAGTGTTGATTTCTGGACTACAGGACTACAACCGCTAAGACTACGACCGCAAATTTGTTCTGACCAATCAAATCATAACGTGACAACGTCACTTCCGTAAGCTTCATGTTCAGCCAATCAACTACTTTGACGTCATCGGCAGTCGAAGGACCCCGAGCCGATCCTGCACCAACACCGTCCGCCTCGGGGGCGGGCATCTAACCTATGAGAACCCACCCGATTGGCCAAATGGGTGATGAGTTTGATTTGTTAAACATGCATCGTGTGTAGCAAACATTCTAGCTGACCATTCTTTGCGATATTTATCTGTTCTTTGCGATATGCATATTGTGCATGCTGATATCGCGATAACCATATACTGTGCAGCCCGTTCGACACATGCTGGCATCAAACTGTGAAATGTCGATCATGATCGCTATCGAGTTTTACTATTTGATTGACACGACTCTTGCATATCACGCACATATTATACATCAAACTCTTCTCCTCTCACTCTGGATGTCAACATATGACAGATCTGGGCTTTATTCCTGATATGTGTGTTTGGCACACCTGGTGTCATATTTTGCACAGATAATATTTAAAGGTTAAGTTTTCATAACAGGAGAAATGTGAGGGGGTGCATACACTGGTATCGTAAAATGAAGCAGAGTTAGAATATGTCTGTAAACAAGCCGGTACCAAACACCCCTGGTTTGTGGTGAAAACTCAGATTTGTTATTTAGCAGATTTTTAAAATCAAATCAAGTCAGCGTTGTCTAGTTCTGTAATTAATTGACCTCAGATGCAGGTTTTTAGTCTGCGGGAGGAAACTGGAATCACTCACACATGCATAGGGAGAACATGCTAACATCTGCAGCTGGGATTCAAACGTGCAACCTTACTGCTGCGAGGCAGCAGCCCACATCTGGACTTTGCAAGGAAACATCAGCTGGTTTGTGACCGACAGAACATTTCATTCGTTCTTTTCTCATCGCTGCATTTTAAAAACGTGTTGATGAGTTGATTCTGTTATATAACTGAGTCACTGGCCGATCTGCTCCACCGGGCTTTAAAGGAAATCGCTTCCTGTGTGGAGTTTACCCTCAGCCAATCACACGACAGCTCCCTGAGTGCCTCAGCTGTCGGAGGGATTCCTCTGAGTTTCTGTTATGTTTTTCCCCATCATGCAGCAGGAAGCTGGCCTGAAATCAGTTTCAGCTCTAAATCAGGTCCAAGTAAGACCGAAGAGCCAGGTTTTCTCCTGGGGGGGGGGGATAAATTAATATTTGTTATCCACTAGAATTAACCTGTTAAAAGTGAGATGGCGGTTCGGTAGTTTTGTGTATTTATGACTCAGGAGAATGTTTGTCATCCTGCTAGTCTCCTGTTTTACCAAAATAAAAGCTTGCTTAGAGATGAATCTTAATAAAATCTGACGTATAAATATATTTTAAAGAAAACAAGTGGTGTCCTTTTGACCTGCTGACGCAGTTTTCCGGAGCCTTAAAAGTCAGGAAACCAACCAGTTGAACACACAGATGAATTCCAGCTTCAGGTGTGCTCACCTGAATCCAGGAACTAGGGTGTGAGGCTCAGCGAGTTTCTGAGGAACCTTTCAGACACCCTGTGGAGAACATACCAAGTCCACATAGCAATGCTGCAGTGGGGATTTGAACCGGTGACCTTGCTGAGAGGCACCAGTGCTACCAGCTGCTCCATCATGCAGTCCTTCAATGACCAGGAAACAATTTATAAGTTCTCATGAACCTAAAACACTTGATGTTAGATTTGTTATCGCCAACAACAAAAGGATCTTTTCCTGACGAGTTCATGGATCAAAAAAAATGTCGTTTTTTTTTTATTGCTGCAGTGTAACCATGCATTCATTAACCAAAAAAGACTTGGATATTTTGGTGTGTAATGAAATGAGGTTATTACATTTTAATTAATGAGCCATAAGGCGTGGGATTCCACAGGAAATACAGAATCCACCTTACGGATCGGGGGTTATTTAAACCAGAAGATTGGATCTTTTTATTGCGGAGATTAGATCACCGTTACGTATTCACTCAGAGACGACGGGATAGAGAGAGTCAAGTTTAAAAGTTAAGAATTACAGAATTACGTTACAGGTGTCAGGTCAGCTGATCACTGATTAAACCGTTCGTGCCGAATGCTGGCCAAGTTCTATCATTTACTGATTTTTAGTGCAGATCTAGTTTTAACTTCCGCTTTTAGTCAGCTGAGATTGTTATAAACGTCTTATAGAAACACGTTTTTGCCTACTTAAACACGGTTTATGTAAAACTCATCTGGAGGAGCTGGCTGGTTCTGGCCGGGTACCAATTCTGCTGGACTCTGAAGGATCTGGGATATAAGTGAGGATTCATCATTGATGAATAAAGCTGGTTTCATCCAGAACAAACTGGAGATGCACCAAAAGCAAAAACTTGTTAATGAGGAGAGTTTGTGATTAGTCGGTGTAACTGGCCTTTTAGAAACTCTAAATGTCTGGATTGGGTCCTTGTTTATTTGTTTTTTTGGATCCATGAACTCACGATTGCCCAGTGCTCAGTCATGCTAACAATAACGGATCCGTTTTTAAAGGCACACTTGGCAGGTTTGGCTTGCTTTTAACACCCCCTGGTGTCTGTTTAGTAAAACTTTGTTGTGAGTTTGTTTTTTTAACACCTTAATCTAGCTGCTGAAATGTCTCCCAGCCTTCATTAGTGTCTACAGGAGCGACTCATCACTAAATTAAACAAGTCAGCTGTGTTCATGATCTAAAACGTGCAGGAATCCTTCTGGAAGCAGATTGCAACACCAGGCATGTCAGCTCAATTTTTTCAGAGTTCACAGGTGGCAGCCTGCTACACACAAGTTGCAAGTGTGATATTCTGGCTGTGAAACGACAACAGAACTCTGCAGCTTAGTGCTGGAGTGAAACTAGGGCTGGGCAACAAATCAAAAATGTGTTGCTTTCCTTATCAAGATCATTTTTCCCACGTCAATAAATCTGAGAATAAAACATTAAAATATTCATGTCCCTTTATGAAGCTGTACCACCTTGAGTCACTTACAAATGTGACTCAACGTAATACATGTGACAGCCCCATCTAGTGGGCATTTCTTGTTTCTGCGCATACCTGTAGTTATCGTCCATTTATCGTTATCGAGATGAAAGCCTCAAAATATTGTGATATTTATTTTAGGCCATATCACCCAGTCCTAAGTGAAACCGATGATTGCTTCAGTATGAGGAAAAATCCTCACCCTCACTGACAAATAACATTCTCACTCCGGTGACCTTTGACCCCCT